ATACTGATTGTGGCACTTGGTCAATTTGTGGCACCTGCTGTGTGGCATAAACTACTCCGCTTTAGCCTACCCCCATAAATGGTAAAAGACCAACGCAACGGTCTTTCATAATTACTTTTTAGAGTGCGTTTATTTTACTATTATGGTATTGTCATTATCTTTCGAAATTACTTGCGCCTCAATGTGATGATATGAGACTATCCCACATGTATAGTACAATACTACTGTCACATGTCAATGTTGTTAATCAGTTTAAATTAATTTACAAGCGAAGAATATTATAATTGTGAACTATGTCAACTAGCTGACTATACAACTGTAACTTGCTGCGAGAATGCGAGCATGTTTTGAAACGAATGACATAACATTGTTCGTAGCCAACCAGTACAATCAATGGACTTTCGTATCTATATAAAATTATCTGTATACTTTTAAGCCACATTAACCGGACCTAAACTGCATATATGCTACAAAATTGGTCTTTGATTGTTAAAGTTGCGTATAAATGTTGCCATCGCATCAACCTTTACCCATCCGTCTGTGAACAACGTTACACGAAAGCTGTTCGTTGTCATAGAAGTGTTTCGAACGAGCCCCGAAATAATCATGTAATAGGTGTTCCAATTAATTGTGGCAAAGTAAAAGATAATAATAGTAAAGAGTTTATTCAGTTCAACAAGACTGTCAGAAAACACCCGTAAAGCTCTCAGATTGCCAAGACACCCTTACTTATTATTATTAAATTGGATGTACCCCTTAAATCGGGCAAAATCTAAAGTGACACGATCACCAGTTTGGTATTCTCGGCTATTTGAATGACAAGTTGTTCGTTCCCCATTATTAATTTTAATGCGCTTCTAGACAAATAGGTTCTCATCAAAGACTGTGCTGTACGCACAACTTTACTTTTTTGTTCACAATTACAAGTAAAAAAAGGTAATATTTTAAATGAAGAAGCGGTATGATTAGGTTCTAACGCTTTTCATCGTTCTCAGAGGCTCCGTTCCCGCCTTCCACCGTCAGGTAAAAGTGAGGTGAAGAGCTCCGGGTCTCTTCTCCCTCTCCCATGTCTCAATTCTCCCCCCCCGGAGTTGACGGACTTATCGAGTTTCACATGGGGCGCTACAACTATCTATTAATATGACAACTGCGAAAGATCAGGAGTGATGGTGCATGCGTCAGGTAAGAGAACGTATATTGTAAGTAGGTAAATAAAAACAGCTTAAATCGAGCTATTGGTAAGCATCTCGTTGCGAGTAGACTTTTCTCGCGATAGTCAAGTGTTTGTGCTGTGACGATGTTTTGTCAGTTTTTCAAGAATTGATTAGCCAAGAAGCCAAAAGTATTTCAACAAACAAGCCACTTGCGTTTATGTCATACATTAGGGGACAGTAATCGCAACGGGGTAATAATGAAATTACCACATAACTTCTTTGTTCTAAATTGTAAGAAACGTCACTCAACCAATGGGGTTTTCCGTAATTGCTTTGAGTACATTTACTTTACTATTAGCATTAATGTTATCTTCAAAAAGCCATTTGCGTTTAAATGTAAGACGTAAACCATCCCACATGTATAATACTATATCACTGTGTTGGCCAAGTGCTTCTTGTGTTATGCAAGCTGATGATCAAAATTTTGACTATGTCCGCATTGACTGCAAGTCATCGATGCATATTACTGCGAGTGGGTCCTGGTATTAAAAATAACACAAATGTGTATAATGACAGAATCGAATAAATTGAATAAACTCTATTGTAAACCTTATTATAGAAAGCTTCGTGGGAAATGGGTTTTTATTCAATAACACCTAAGATGATACGATATATAGCTGAATATAAACAACATCAACTGTTCGAATGAGAAATAGCTCGTAAACTAATACAGTAACGAGTATAACAGCATGGATTCGTATAGGAACTGGTTGAAAAAGAGATTGATTCACAAGTAGAAGATTTTAAAAAAATAGTTTCGGAAAAGTTAACAATGAAGATTCTACCGTGGTCTCCGAGATAAAAGCAGAGCAGAAAATGTAAAAGAATTCGAAAACCAAGAAAAATCAACGTCTAAACCGCAATGAAGAGTCTCGTTAGTGTTACTACATCAGATTGTTCAAAGAAATATGTTAATCTGTCTAACAAAGATGCAGACAAGGATGGGTGTGTTTTCTTTCAATGCATACGATGAACAGATAATCTTCATTTATTATACCATTGCGTTTCGCAATGTATAATTGTACTACGTTAATTTAAGTAAACTGGTGAATAAATAAATCCAAAACCACAAGAAGGTAACGTTACATCTGATAAACAAACAAACCGATTTTGGGATCCACATTCCAATTTTAGTTCTCCGCGCAACTCTGTTCGTTTGCAGTATTATCAGACATTCCTTTAATCTTAGATATAGAGCGTATTCACAGCTAACTCCCCCTTCCTCTTCAAAAAATTACTCTCTTTAGTCCTCCACTATGCATGATTCTCCCGTTTCCTTCTCGCCCTTCTCATCGTCCTCATTTTTCCCACCTCTTCCACCTCTCAAATATTAGTTCCTCAACCGACTGTGTATTCACTTACCAAAACCGTTTTTACATATACAGTGATTCCTACTTAAAATATATCCGTATATCTTTTTCTGTAAACATGTTCAATTGGACCGCAATTAACGCCACAGAAATTGACCAACCGGCGTGTTTTATTACATCATATAGAATCTTATATGTGACGAACAGAGTAAATCATGACTTTGTTTGCATTTTCCAAGCACTCGATCTGAATGAAAGAAAAATCATTTTTGGCGTACTGTCACTGGAGTAGACAGAACAGAAACTGATAATTTGTCATTTAGGAAGTTCATTGTTGTACAACTTCAGAAGGTAAAGAGGTGTCGTTTATTTTTGAAGGGTTTCAGTCGAGCAATGAGTCTATAGAGAACTCGACTTGGGAAGCTGCATCCAAACGGGTAAGTATGGAAATAATAATAAAATGAGGGATTCAAAAAGGCTAATTTTGATGAGTTATTCTAATTTTCTTCTCTCACTCCTAACCAGAATGGGACTAACCTGCCAAACCAACAATTTACGTTTGCACGGTTGGGTTGTAAGCTACATCTGATTTCTGAGTAAATTTGCAGGTATGGAAGACTTTCGGTGCAGTTACATTAAAGAAGCGTATGCATGTATTATATTAACATCTAATTATATTAGTTTAATTCTTTTATCTGTTCTATCGGATTTTTATATTAATATCCAATTTTAAGACTTATCACGGAAATGATAGCATAGCTGCATTCAACACATCCCAAGATGACGCTCGGACTCTTATTAGTTGACTTTTTTCGTCCAGGAGTAACATTGAACCGCTTTCGGATCGATGACAATTATATGTCTAGTTATCATAAAAAAATTCTGACCGATTTACGTTAATGTTTATTATAGCTTACAATAATCTAGGCTATAAAGTTGTCAAGAATTATAATAGATAATTATAATCCACAACAGCGTTGTGGGATAGCGATAGCTTACAACAGTAATTGCAGTAATCGAAGCGTATTATTATTAGTATACTTACGTAATGACCTTTTAGTGGGGGGGGGGGGACACGTCATGCAGTTAATCTAGGTAATCTTGGGGGTGCTTATTCACGATCGGCGCTTTTACTTATAGGGGCACGGTAGTATACGGTATTGGCAGTGTATGTCTGATCATAAAACATTCGACAAAGTGTGCGTACAGAAAAATTGCCCAATTAATTTCCCGCTACAAAAAGTTTTTTTGATACTGTCAAGGAGAATCATTAGACAAGTTCAAAGCAGCCTAATAATTGTATACAGTCTAAGCTCGTTATAATAGAACTACGTTATTAATGGAATCGCATTATAAAAATAATTTTTTTAGAACTTTTCTTTCTAATATTAAAAATTGCTTGTTATAATGTATTCTTATGTTATTGCGTCCATAACAGAGTTAATCGCATATTATAGAAATATGGGCTTCAGCTAATAGGATGAGAGGAATCAAACTCAACATTAATATAATTTAACATGGTATAAAGCACTTGGTTTATACGAAATGCCTAATAATATATCTAAAAAAAATCTTTAACAAAGACACAAAAACGTCAACTATGTCTTGACAAGGAGAAAAGCCTATACCGACAAATGGCGAACTTGCGTTGAAATACAGAGTCAAAAGAAAAACCGTCTCCGCAATTTTAGTAGCAAAAGAAAAGTGACTTACAACGGATTTTGAAGCGTAATCAGCCCTCAAAATATGAGAATGTTGAACGCGCCTTGTGGAGTTGGGTCAAAGGTGCGTTATTCAATCTCGATGTCGAGCGATACTGTTATGGAAGCTGCAAAAAAAAGACATTCCTTGTCTGCATTTGAAGAACGTAATTCAATTCAAGCCTTAATCGATAAACTTCCTTTCACGGATCCGATAAATGCTGAAGAGTATTTACGTCTTGAAGAAGAAGCAGTCTTAAGTAATAGCATTACGGATGAAGATATTGTCCGAATAATTTTAGGAAATAGACAGGATCGGATAAAAGAAGAGGAAAAGGAGGCGAAGAAACGAGTATCTATCGAGAAAGCCTGCAGAGGTGCTGAGGTTATGTTGCAATTGTTCGAGCAACAAGACAACAATATTAACGTAATCGTTGCCTGTACCACTCTAAGAGAAAAATGAAACACAAACAAACTCTTGCTACGAATGTTATTAAAAAAATACATGTTATGTATATGCTCAATACTCTTACATTAATATATCAACTATAATTATGAAAGTGATAATCATTGTTAAACTATTTGTCAGATCCGGCGGATATCGATAATAATCTTCCGTGATTTCCGCTCTGTGGTACGAACGATCTACAATGGCTGCGG